TCGTCCACCAGCCTGCTTACTCGACTTCGTCCCAGGATCTATGCTGCTCCTTGCCCCACTCTCCTCTTCCATCTTGTCGTCCTCCTCCTATGTCCCTACCCTTCTCTTCCTCCCCTGCCTCTGCCCCCTGAATCGCCGCGCGCGCTACGAGAGGCCTATTATTTTCAAGATACCAAATAGACCCGGCATTATGAATCTGCACGCTGCGGAGAAGATTGTAAGATTGCGAATTGGCAAGAAACAATCCACTATAGTGCACTAAGGGCGACTCAGTGTGCGCCATGCGGCTCTGCGGCCACTCGTGGTCAGAGGACGTCCTTGAACGAACAAGGGTGAAACTACGAAAAAAAATCACGCTCTCCTCGCCGAGGGCGCGCCGACGGGGCTGGCGTCGTGCGGGTCTGGGCTGTCGCGCCGCTGGGCTGAGGACTGGGCCGGAGGACCCTGCGGCTCCCTCAGCGCGGGAGGCTGCGGTTCCCGCGACTGCGTGGCGCCGCCCTGGGCACCCTGATCTGAGCCTGTGGGCGCCTTCTGGGCCTGGACGGGGTGCTGTCTGCCCTTGGCAGCGAGGATGCTGCGCATGTAGGCACTGTCGGCCGCCATCGTCTGCGCTGCGCGCGCCACCTGGGAGGCGTCCTCGCCCTGCCCGTCATCGAGCCTGGCGACCAGCTGCTTGCACTGCATCCGGATGGCCTTGCTCGGCCGCGCCCTCCGCTTGCGCTTGCATGCGGGTTCATGGCAGAATTTGCAATCCACCCCAAGGCTACAACCTGTACGGGTGCCCACGTAGAGGCATGGCTTGCAAGCGCCAGCAAGGTGCTGCGCGTTGCCTTGCGAGAACTTCGGGGAGGCCTCCTCAGCGACGTCTTGCCCTTCCTCCTCCTCCCCGCCGCCTTCGCCGCCGCTCTCCAAACGGGCGCCTGAGCCGGCGGCGATCGGCGCAAGCTGCTCCGCCGTGGGCTCCTGCGGAAAGCACTGCATGCAGACGTCGTTCCGGCACCTCGTGCACGTCCACCTCCGCGAGGCGCCTCCCAGGTGGCCCCGCTGGGAGCTGCCGAAGCAGCGGCTGCAGAGGTAGTGCGGCCTCAAGCGGAGGATGTCTGGACAGAGGTCGGAGATCTGCATGACGCTGCCGTCCCGCTGGCACACTGGCGGCCCACCGCGGAAGTCCAGAGCCGAGGCGCCCGAGCTCTCTTCGAACCCGCTGCTCCCTCCATTGCTCGCGCTATCCGCAGAGAAGAAGAGGGGGCCTTCTGTGGGCTGTCCTGCAACCGCGGACTGCCCGGCTGCGTGGTGCCATGGGAGGACGTCGCCACTCAACGCCGAAGAGCTCTCGCCCTCGAAGCCCGATGAGCTTTCGATCCTGGAACCAATGGACTCGCTGTCGCTGTGGTATATCATACGATCAGGTCCATAAGCTTGCTCGACAACTAGCAAGCCTTGGTCGGGCGACTCTCCCTGCTGCGCTGACGCGCTGTTAGCTGCGGCATCGATTGAGCCGCCAACATGGCTACGGAGGCTCTGTTGAACTGGTCTTGGGGCGACATGAGGGCGCACAGGGATGACTGTTCTCGTACAGCGCGCTGGAAAAATGCCCAGGGAGTACACGGTTCTCCTACGCTCGTCGTGAAAACTATTCGTTCGAGAGAGCGTGATCCACCGCCGCTTTACTGTGGAAAATTTCCCCCCCTCTTCCTCTGGAACCCGGGGGTCCCCCCCCCCTCTGAACCCCCCCCCTGCTGTAACCCCCCCCCACCTCCCCCCCGGCAAACCGCCCCCCCTCCCCTACCCCCGCTTCTCTGGAAAACCGGGGGGGGTCACTGCTGGTTCGAACCCCCCCCCCGCTCCGGAAAACCGGGGGGGTCACTACCTGTTCGAACCCCCGCCCCCCCCCCCCCCGCAAACCAGAGGGGGATCACTACCGGTTCGAGCCCCCTCCCCCCCCCCTCGAAACCGAGGGGGATCACTACCGGTGCGACCGCCCCCCCTCGAAAACCGGGGGGGGTCACTACCGGTTCGAACCCCCCCCACTCCAGAAAACCGGGGGGGGTCAATACCGGTTCGAACCCCCCCCCACCCCTCCAGAAAACTGGGGGGGGTCACTACTGGTCGAACCCCTCCCCCCCCCCACGCTCACCGCCAGCAAACGACTCCCGGGTCCCTTCCGCACCACATCCCCCCCTGTCCCCAGCACCACTGTCCTCACCCACTGTCCCCACTGTTCCCACCACCGTCCCCACTGTGTCCCCACCAGTGCCCCCACCACTGTCGCACTGTCCCCACTGTCCCCACCACGGTTCCACTCTCCCCACTTTCTCCACGGCCCCAACCACTGTCCCACTGTCCCCACTGTCCCACAGTCCCCGCCGCTGTCCCACTGAGCTGTCCCACTGTTCCCACCATTGTCCCCACTGTCCCCACCACTGTCCCCACTGTACCTCTGTCCCATTATCCCAACGCCGTCCTCGCCACCGCCCTCACCACTGTCCCCACTTTCCCCACGGTCCCCACCACTGTCTCACTGTCCCCACTATACCCACCACTGTCGCACTGTCCCCGCCGCTGTCCCACTGTGCTGTCCCACCTTCCCCACTGTCCCTATCACTGGCCCCATCACTGTCCCACTGTCCCCACTGTCCCCACCACTTTCCCCACTGTACTACTGTCCCACCACTGTCCTCACCACCGCCTTCACCACTGTCCCCACCACTACCGTCTACACCACTGTCCCACTGTCCCCACCACTGTCCCGCTGTCCCCTCACCACTGTCCCCACCACCACCGTCCCCACCACTGTCCGCACCACTGTCCCATTATCCCCGCACCAGTCCCCACCACCACCGTTCCCACCACTGTCTCAGCATCCCCACCATTGTCCAACTGTCCCGAGGAGCGGGAATCGTTTGCCGGCGGCGAGGGGGGGTTCGAACCGGTAGTGACCCCCCCAATTTCCAGGGGGGGGGTTCGAACCGGTAGTGACCCGGTTTTCACGGGGGGGGGGGTTCGAACCGGTAGTGACCCCCCCTTTTCATGATTGACTTGGGGAGGGAAGGGTTCGAACTGGTAGTGACCCCTCCCCGGTTTTCGGGGGGGGGGGGGGACCGGGTTGGGAAGTGACCCCCCCCCGGTTTTCGGGGGGGGGGGGACGGGTTGGGAACCCCCAGTGACCCCCCCTTGTTTTCCGCCAGCAGCGGTAGAACACGCTCTTTCGTTGGTTCGGAGCCCCGAATCGGAGCCCCAGAAAAGCCCCTAGGGTACCCGAACAGGCCCCAAGAGCCTGCCGCAGTTGAGCCAGGGGCCCTCTTGGACCCATCTCTGGGCCCTCGAGGCGCCCAAAGAAATACATTTCTCGCGCCACGCGTTGTATAACTGCCCAGGCATTGATATTTCGGGAATTCCAAGAGAGCCCCAAGAGGACACGAATGGGCCTCAAGAGCGAAGTGTAACGCCGCACGTTGGAGAACTGCCCCGGCAATACACAAATCGTCTGTACGCGGCGTGAGACCCGTTGGCCCAGGAGCTCCAAGAGAGCACCAAGAGGGCCCCAAGAGGCCTCAAGGGTCTGCAAGAGTTGAGCCAAAGGCCCTCTTGGACCCGTCTTGGGGCCCCTTGAGGGCGCTCAAAATTCGCCGGCCCAACGGGCCAGAGGCGTGCTAAGATCTACGGTAACTACTTAACCATATTTCTAATTCGCGCGCGCGGTGCGGCCCCTGGGGGGCTCCGGACGAAAAGTACCCCGGCCGATCCCCGGCTGACCCCCAGGCGATCCCCAGGGGGGAGGCTATTTTTCGCCACCCCTCACGAGGATCGTGGCCTCCGAGGGGGGGCTGCCAACGACTACCCCCCCTCCCGCCCCAAGGGGCCCCCAAGAGCCCCCCAAGAGGCCCCAGGGGAGCCCAATACGCCGCCAACGAGCCCCAAGACGCTCCCAAGAAGCCCCCAAGAAGCCCCCAAGACGGCCCCAAGAGGCCCCAAATAGCGCTCCTGGGCCGGCGGAATGAGCGAAGCGATTAAATAACACGTCGCACACCGTGAATTGGACAACTGCTCTGTCGGTGCGCAGTCTCCTGCGCGCGGCGTGAAGCCCGTTCACCCAGGACTCAGCAGAGCCCCGCATAGAGCTCGAGTAGGCCCAAAGAGCCTGCCGGAATGAAGGCAGGGGTTCTATGGGACCCCATCTTGGGGCGCACTGAGGGCGCCCAGGATTACAGTTCTCACGGCGTGTAGAACTGCGGACCTTGGGCGCCCCAAGGAGAAGTCTCACGCCACGCCTTGAACAGCTGCCCAGGCCGAGTAGGCAATTCTCTCGAGCGTCGTGCAAGAACTGTTGACTGGGGAACCCCCCAGTATGGCCCTGAGAAGCTCCGTGGGCCTCCTGGAGCTGGACCCGCATGCCGCGCGGCGGGGCGTGGTGCAAAACTGGCTGTCAGGCCACTGGAACCACACCTGAGGGAGGAGCGGGGGAGAGAGGAAGGGAGCCAGCATGCCCCGCGATGTGCGCCAGAGGTCATCTGATTTCGGTACAGTAGCCGCTTCCCCGCCCAACGACCTGCGTGGACGCCCGCTGCGCGCACAGAGCTGGCCTTTTCTAGGCAGAAGACTCTGACCCACAGGAGGTTTCGCACAGGGGCCCGCCGCAAGCTGTCCCGCAAGGCCTCGTGGGCCACTCGTTCGGGCGAGTTTCCTGCCCCCGTCCCGAGAGAAAGGAGAAAGGGAGAGATGGAGGGAGGAAGGGAGGAGGGAAGGAACAGAGGAAGGAGGGAGGGAGGGAGGGAAGAAAGAAACGAGGGGGGGAGAGGAGGGAGGAGGGGGGAAGGGAAGGGAGGGAAGAGAGAAAGGAGGAAGAGAGGGAGGGAGAGGACGGAGGGAGGGGGAGGAAGCGCAGGGGAGGAGGGAAAGGGGAAAGAGAACGACGAGGAGGGGGAGAGCGAGCGAATCAAGCGCCTGGAAGAGGCGCTGACCCAGGTTGACCGCGAGCTGCCCCTCCTCGCCAGCGGCGGTCAGGAGCGACAAGGACGCGTCGGGCGGGAGCTGTATCTCAAAGGCCTGGTCTCCTCCTCCCCCCTCCTCGAGAACGGGGGGTTGTGGAGCCCCTCGGGGTCGAGGGAGCGCGCGCGGGACTTGGCGAGTGCGTCTGTGAATGGTCTGCGTTCTCTGTGATGTCCTCCTGACATTCCTCTTCCCCCTCCATTTGTTCCTCCTCCTCCTCGGTCTCCTCCTCCTCCGCCGCCTCTTCCTCCTCCTCCTCCTCCTCCTCCTCATCATCATCATCATCAGCAACAGCATCAGCATCAGCATCAGCATCAGCATCAGCATCAGCATCATCATCATCATCATCATCATCATCATCATCATCAGCAGCAGCAGCAGCATCATCATCATCAGCATCATCATCATCATCATTAGCATCATCAACAGCCTCATCATCATCATCATCATCATCATCATCATCATCATCATCATCATCATCATCATCATCATCAGCGTCAACATCAACAGCAGTATCATCATCCGCATCATCATCATCGTCGTCATCTGCATCATCATCACCAGCATCCTCATCGTCATCATCGTCATCATCACCATCAGTATCATCATCAGCATCATCAGCATCATCACCATCCTGCTCGATCGCCTCCTCCAAATCAACGTCGGTATACTCCTCCTCTTCAACATCCTCCTCCTCACCATGAGCATCATCAGCAGCAGCATCATCATGCTCGATCGCCTCCTCCAAATCAACGTCGATCCCCTTCCCCTCTTCCGTATCACCTCTACGTTTCTCCTCCCCACCCACTCAACCACAACAAAAAACATGATCGACCCACGAACCCGGAAAGGAATATAGAAATGTAAGGCATTGCAACATTTCAAAGACACCTGATTGGGCGACAGGCACATGCAATGCTGAATGTATCGATGATGATGTACTGTGCCGAGGGCTGTGCTGTGCTGGGCCGTGCTGAACTGCGATGTGCCATGCCGCGATTGTGCTCTATATAGCGTTGTGGATCGAGTCCTCCCTGGCATCCGAGTCCTGACCGAACTGATCTGGAGCGTAAGCTCGAGCTGCCTGAGCAGATGGTAGCTGCCCCAGAACTAATCGACAGAGGGAACATGCCAGGAGGACGCGCCGCGGAACGTCCCAAGGGACGCGCCAGGCGACGTGCCAGGGGACGTGCACCGCGGGACGTGCCAAGGGGACGCGCTACGGAACGTGCCAATGGACGTGCCGAGGGACGTGACAGGGGACGCGCCGCGCGACGTGCCAGGTGGACTCGCCACGGAACGCGCCAAGGAACGTGCCCAGGTGCATAATTGAGTGTATCGATCTTGATGTACCGTGCCGACGGCTGTGCTGTGCTGGGCCGTGCTGAACTGCGATGTGCCATGCCGCGATTGTGCTCTATATATAGCGTTGTGGATCGAGTCCTCCCTGGCATCCGAGTCCTACAGAACTGATCTGGATCGTAAGCTCGAGCTGCCGGAGCAGATGGTAGCTGCCCCAGAACTAATCGACAGAGGGAACATGCCAGGAGGACGCGCCGCGGAACGTCCCAAGGGACGCGCCAGGCGACGTGCCAAGGGGACGTGCCATGGGCACGCACCGCGGGACGTGCCAAGGGGACGCGCTACGGAACGTGCCAATGGACGTGCACCGCGCGACGTGCCAGGGGGACTCGCCACGGGACGCTCCGCGGAACGTGCCAGGCAACATGCCAGGCTGCAATGCTAAGGGTATCGATATTGATGTAACGTGCCGAGGGCTGTGCTGTGCCTGGGCGACCTGGACACGTGAAAACACGCGTTTCGCTCAAGACGTTGTCAGCACATCCTCATGCTAGACATCCGCCTGAGCAACCTGGACACGTGCAAACAAGCGTCTCGCTCGAGACATCCTCAACAAATGCTCCTGCTAGACATCTGCCTGGGCGACCTGGACACGTGAAAATAAGCATCTGGTTCGAAACATCCTCAACAAATCCTCATGCTAGACATCTGTCTGGGCCACCTGGAGGCGTGAAACCAAGCGTCTCGCTCGAGACATCCTCAAGACCTGGGCACGTGAAAACAAGCAATCCACTTGAGAGATCCTCAAAATTCAAACCCCCAGGAGAGGACAATCTATGACACAAAACAAGCGTTTCGCTCGAGACATCCTCAACAAAGTATGAAAAACAAGCGTTTCGCTCGAGACATCCTCAAATTTTAATTCGCCGACCCTACGCGACCTCGTTATTTATCGCAAAAGAAATTCGCCGGCCCTACAGCCGTCAAAACCGGGGGAAACCAACTAAAAGAGAACCCTGGGCTCAGACCCTTTCCGGGAACATAACAATCACAAAACAAAAACAAA